TAGGAGTCATGGAACTTTTCGAAAGTTCTATGGGGTTAACTAAGGCAAATACCCTGTAACCTAAGTACCCTGCAACTAGCGCTGATAGCCACTAGCTTGAGGTCTACCAAAGGCTCAAGAAAGGACAGCTTTGATCGGTTGAGTGTCTTACTTTTTTTTTATTTGCAGAACTTTATTAAGCGTAGCATAATCCCAATTTTTTATATTCACAGAATCTATCCTAACAATACAAATTTCATTTTGTGTTAACTTCTTCAAAAGGTAAACCCTTGTATGAATATATAACCTATCATAAAATAAATATATATATATATAAATATATATATATATAATTTAGCATACCCATTATAGTTTGAATGAGCTCCAGAATATTATACCTTTAAAATTCACAAGCTATGGATATTTAATCATAGAAATAATTTAAATGAATTAAGTAGTCTCTGATATTTTCAGTTTTGCCTCAGTTAATGCTTATTATATTCGTATTTTTACATGTCTTGGTAAATATATTTAATAATTGTCTTGAAATAATACTCAAATTTTTGTCAGTTAAACGGTTTCAACTATGGGTAATGTACCTTATTTATTAAATGTAATTTCCCAGCTATCTGCCCCTTTACCCAAGCAGCACCCATTTCGAAGTACTTAAGACAATTGCATAATTAAATTGATGTCTTACACAATTTCACCAGCTATGGAAATCAATCATTCATTCAGCTCTTTACAAATATGTACAGAAAATATTTTTAATTGCAAATACAAATATGCGCAACCACGCCCCCATCTTAGGCTCCTCATTAAACGGAAGCGCGGCAATAATCAAAAACAAATAACATAAAACTTTCGCACTCGCAGACAATAAAACGATCTGTTCAGCATCCAAATTCACATGCGTAAATAAACTGCGCAACACTTTCAAATGTTCGCGAGGCGCCTCAAATTGACAGGCGACAAGCGACACGGACGCCTACGCCTCAGTTGGAGACGCAAACGCAGCCTCTAACATGGCTATACACAACAACAAATTAGTGTGAGGCGCAAAAACAAACTGATAAAAAGCAAAAGTGTATACAAAATATGACACATCAACGCGTCACGGGAGAGAGAGAAGATGACACAGGCAAAAAAAAAAAATATATATATACAACAACTACAATAAGTCGCCACACACATTGTACAAAAATTTGCAAAAAACTTTTACTTTTTAAATAAGCATAAAAACATTTTTGCGCATCATGCAATTTGATTTGCAGGTAATACTCGTAACATGCCAGATGTATTTTTGAGTGCGTTTCAATCAACAACAACAACTACACCTATTGTTGGTGCTACAATATCAGCTCACGAGTGTGTTGAACTAATCAAGTTTGTTGCCTAAGTCTTTTGATTGATTTTGATTTTTTGTTGCGCATCAAAAATGCATTTTTTTCAGCAATTTTCGCCATGTTTTTGATTACCATTTGATTGAAATTTGCGCATGGCTGGCATGTGGGTGGTTGCATCCAAGTAAAAGGCTTTTAAATAACATCAAAAACAATTTAGCCTGCCTGCCTTATGCAATGGCCTAAACGACGCCGCCTACTTAGCCCAATACATTGGCCTCAGCTCAAAGAGCCGACAAAATTGAAAGTAAATATCTGTTTATTTGCATGTCTATTGCACAAGTGCGGGGAATATGAATCGAAACACATTTAAATATGCGAGCGTGCTGTAAAGTGCTTGAATGGCTTAGTGCGGGTGTTCCCTTTAAAAATGATTATGAGAATGTTTTTTACAAGGAGAGAGTCGAAAGCTACCTAATATATCATTTATTCATCTAACGAATAAATAAGATATAAGATAGAATAAGATATAAATTAAAAGTTAAAGTATACTATATCTGAATGTATTTTCTAAGTACGAAGGTTTCATATTAGGAGATCCCTTGATATTGTAGCCCGACTGTTAAGTACAGCATCCAAAAACACAAGTTTAATTTTCGATAGTTCATTGGAAGTAAAATTAAATTAAAAGCATAAATTATTAGCATAAGAGATACTTTCAAGGCAAGTGTCAATTTCAAATAAATTCATTTAAATGTTTTCAATTTCGTTTTTTCTTGATCGGTATTACATATCTCTCTTCATTCCCTTTCTTTTCTTCCCTTACCTTAGTGTATCTTCTTTTTTTATCCTATATGCCTAATTTAATCGATATATGGCTATCGCTTTTATATATGTATCACTTTATTTGGTCACACTGGTTTTGTCAGCAATTAAAATTCTCATTTTAAACGTTAAATTCCAAGTCTTACTCAAAAAAAAACATAGTTTATTTGTTTTTACATTGTTTCATGTTCATAATCGAATCTTTCTATCCTACTATTCTTCTTCTACTATTCTACTTTTCTACCTCTGCTTTAGCCTTTCATTTTATTGTAGACAATAAGCAAACATTTTTAGTATTTTTAAACCCAGTGCGCTTTTATTTCTAATAGAAAATGATTTCACTTTCTCAAAGAAGTCCTTCATTACTTCACTACACTCTCAAAATCCATTTTCTTAACAACTTTTACTATCTTCTATTGTCACTCTTTTACACATTTTCTCGGTTTTTTTTATTTTATTAGCGTATTGCCCTTCAGCCTGTGACCACGCCCACGTGCTTTTGCATCACACGCCAAAAATGTTGCACACGAAATGCGCAGAGTCATAAAAATTAGCCAAATGCGAGGCAAATTTCAAATTTTAAACACATTTCAGCAGCTGCGAAATGTAGCAGAAAAAAAGTAGAGAAAAAACGAAACCGAAGCGAAGTCAAAAAGCAGTTGGAATAGGTAATAAAAAGTGCGCAGAAATTGCCAAACTTTATGTGCACAGCGAAAAATTGCAATATTGCGTTTAATTTGGGGTCACACTTAACAGCGCCATGTTATGCAAAGTTAACATAACAGCGAACAGTAAAGGCGCTTTTAAAGGATGCTGTTAATGAATTGCAGCTCTGTGTTCATTTAAAAATGGGTTCAGACATAACAGCAAAATGTTATGCAAAGCAAACTTAACTGTGCCAAGACGCTGTTAAAGGACGCTGTAAACCAATTACTTCAATATGCTCATTTCATTTAGGGTTACACTTAACTGCGCAATGTAATTCAAAGTTAACAGAACAGTTGTAAAGCTATAAGTTCATTTTATTTGGGGTCACACTTAACAGCGCCATGTTATGCAAAGCAAACTGAACAGTTAGCCAAGCCTCTGTTAAAGGACGCAATGGCCGTTGTAAAGCAATTAATGTTTTTTGGCTGTTACAGTTTTGAAGGCATTTTAATTGAAGCCCCCGCGGCCAAGTTAAATGACACATGCGCTTGGTCAAAGCCAGCGCTCAACTTGGCCGCAGCCACTTTGTTGTTGTTGTTGTTATTGCTGCTGCCGCTGCTGCTTCGGCTTTTGAAGACTTTCACTTTGCCGCACAGAGATGAAATGGCTATTGACTCTTTTTGGCCAAAAATAAAAACGAACCAATTAACCCATTAGCGTACACTTTGAAATAGCTCGACAAAAAAAACCGGAGCACAACAATTTGCTAAATTTAACTAGAAATTTTCTTCGATTAGAGAGCAAAAACCTGTAGATATAATTAGGAGTACATCGAATAATAATATTATTTGTTATTATGTTTGGAAAGCATAAATAACATTTTAAAAAACATTGATTCGGAAACTTTATTCAGATTTATTAGCAAGATATACTGAAAATATCTCAAAATCTTTATGGGAACTACACTAAAAAAGTGTTTACAGACGAATTTAGATAATTGAACACGTAATAAGAATCTTGAATCATCTTAAAATGTGCTTAGAAAAACAGCTAAGCAACCTCTATATTTGATGTATTGTTTTTATTTTAACAAGCATGAGAGGACAAAGTCTTTTAATTTTCATTATTAAAAGTATGATTAGTTTGTCATATCCCAATATTATCAATAATAATTCCACTAAAAATAAATGGAACGCCAGGGGTCTGACTGGCAAAATGCTAGAGCTATGTAATTTCATCACAGACAACAAGATCGACATAGCCCTAATTTGTGAAATAAAAACAACTAGCAGAAGACCTATCCAACTAAACGGATTCTGTGTATACACTATCACAGAGATCTGAATATTACGCTAATAGAAGATCAGATCTCTTTCTACTCCAGTCGCTATAACGAAAGACTGATAAACCACCAAAACAGATCTGCACAAGCCCTTGTCGGATCTATTCCTATAAATAGACTGAAGAAAAGACACTTCGGTCATTTACAAAACAATTAAAAACAATTCTTAAGAAGACAGCTTAGCCTTAACCTTATGTAGAGCAGGAGAAAATAAACTAAGAAACAAACATTGTTAAATGCAAATTTTGAAGCATGTACATGTTTAAAAACTCATATTATCTGTTAATATAATAAAGATTTTCATAATAAAAAAAAAAAAACTAAAAATAAGTAATTGGCTTCTCTCTTTATCAATAATAAATTTCTTGATCTAAGTACTTTCTTCTTTGTATTTAAATTTTTTTTTAATAACTAATAATCTACATTATTAAAGGCGATATTAGATTACAAATTTATCATACCCCAATGATATTAATAATATCAAAAATACATTTCTTGATCTAACCACCTTTATCTCAGTTTTGCTCCAAATTATTATAATACGTTTTTTCAAAAGCGAGATTTTGATTATTATTATTTTTTTTATATTTTTGCATAAAAACTCATGTTAAGTCAGCTGCAAATATATCATTAATGTTAACACAATTTTTTTTATAGATATCGAGAAGGGATGTTGAGAAACATCTATTGATTTTTATATAGAGTCTTCTAGCACTAAGAGTTGGCCCAAATCAAACAGAAACTTCCAGAATTTTTCTTCTTCTTCAAAAAATCCTTCTGTTATGCAAAAACTCATGCTGTTTCTAGAAAATTCTTATCCTAAATATATGTAATAATATTTGGAAGGCTTATCAAGGACTCACCGTCTTGCCTGCCTGGGTATGGACTGTGTCCAGCACACGGGCGCCTTGTGCAGCTGATGCATATTCCTTGACGACTTATAGGTCAGATCCCCGCACTCGGTTTGCCACACCTGCAGATTTCCCTCGGCCGGGTAGAACGTGTACAGGCTGTGCGTGGCGGAGGCAATTACGGGCGATGCGCCACCGCTGCCTTCGACGCCCACACCGTCCACCCCAACGCCCGCCAGCGGCGACAGCGTGGCACTCGAGATGGGCTGCACGAGCAGCGCTGCCTGTCCAGCCGCTGCTGCTGCTGCTGCCGCAGCCGCTGCCGCCGCCGAGCCTGTGCCAGGCGCGCTGCTCTTGTAGTTTAGCATGCGACTGTTGGCGCTGCCGCCGCCGACACTGACGCTGCTGCTGCTGCTAACGTTGCCGTTACCGTCGTGCTTGAGGATGAGGCTGCTCGGATCATAGCCATGTCGCTGCCTGCCAATAGCGTCCACCGAATGCGAGCGCAGCGCGTGGCGCGCTGGCGGCGTTACGTGCAGGCGACGTCCGCGCCTATAGCCAGCTGCAGCAGCGGCTGCGGCGCCGGCGCCAACACTGAGGCCATTGGTCAAGCGATGATTGTGAATGCTGGCGGCGGCGGCGCTGGCGACCAGCGGCTGGCGTTGTTTTTGATATTGCAGGCGCTGCTGCTGCTGCTGCTGTTGCTGTTGCTGCTGCTGTTGCTGGTGTTGGTGTTGGTGCTTGAGTTGTTGCTGCTGCTGTTGTTGTTGTTGTTGGTGTTGTTGCTGCTGCAGTTGATCCTTGTAATAATCGCGTCGCTGCAGCTGCGGCGCGGCCAGACTGAGTACGCCGCGCTTCTCTGTCAAGTTGTTGCTATTGTTGTTATTGCTGCTGTTGCTGCTGTTGCTGTTACTGTTGCTGCTGTTGTTACTGCTGGCACCGCCCGTTGCCGCCGAGCTAAGCTGCGCCAGCTTGCTGGCATTGTTATTGCTGTTGATGTTGTTGTTATTTATTTGATGCTCTGAATCGGTTGAAACCCGATCCGGATCACTTTCGAAACCTTCGTCAAGGGATCGTGTTGGACTCAGTATGGGCTTGGAGTGCTGCTCCAGTTTAGTAGACGCCGACATGTCCACTTCGAGCTGTGTGTATTTGCGTTTGTGTGTGTGTGTGTTATTATGTGTGTTACACTTGGCAACACTTTGTTAAAAAAACTATGCACAATTTTGCACTTGTTGCAGTTGCAGTTGCCGTTGCAGTTGCTTTTAATTTGCCATGCACTTTACAATTTAATTTGTTTTTTTTTTTTTGTTTTCGTCGCTTTTTTCACTACGTTTGTTGTCTGCGAAAGTCGCGCCAAAGTTCGAAATTAAATTTGTTTTTATAACAAGCTCTAAGCTGCCGCTCACGTCTGTCTCGTACGAGAGTCGTTCACTAACTGTTCAGCGGCAACGACGCAAACTGTCGTCGATGGCCAGCAGCAACGAAAGCTGCGCACTCGGCACTTGTTACGATTCGTTGTTGTTGTAGTTGTTGCTGCTGCTGCACCTGCTGCGTTCGTTCGTAGTGAGAGAGCGTTACTCCAGAGAGATAGAGAGAGAGAGAGTAAGTGAGAGCACGCGCTGAAAACAGCTGTTGAATGCTGAGGTATTCGCGAAATTTCTGAGCATTGAGCGGCACGCATGCAACGGAACTGGGATAGGGAACCGTTAACATCGCAAAACTCAAGCCTTGACTTTTGAGCGCAATAGTGTTGTCGTTGATATTTTACTGTTGTTTAACCTACAGTAAAAAGGGAATTAAATATGTAAAGCTATTCCGCAACAGCGTTTAGTAAATGTCATTTAGATAGTTAATAAAGTGCAATAGGAACTTAATAGCCTACACAAAATAATTTACACAACACGGTCAACATTCACAGATAAACTATGCTACACCGTGCCAACTTTTGCAGCCACTACTGTGCGTTCACCTCAAGCTCTGGCTCTCTCACACACAACCAGTCTCTCGCAGTTTATTCGCGCCATAATATTTTTATCAATGAAAACCGACGCTACAACAACAACGACCGGCATAAGACTGCCGCAAACTAACAAACAGCTGAAAGCTCGCGCAGCGGCTTCGAAAAGCTTTCGGCACCTGCTGCAAAGCTGCATTGCGAGTACCAGAGAGAATGAATGAGAGAGTGACCAAATTTGGTGACTGCCTACGCTGTGGCGCTCGAGTTTATTGTTTTTCTTATTGTTGCTGCTGATGTTGCTGTCGCTGCCATTTCATCTCCCGTTTTGCCGTTGGTTTTTTTGTTTTGTGCTCTAAGTGGTCGCTGCGCTTGCGGCCTTTTACAATAACAGCAACAACAACTGCAGTCGGCCATTGCAGTTTGATGCCGTCAAGCAATCGATGTTGAAGTGGAATGCCCTTACTTTGATTGATTTCCGGGTGCAGCGACGTTGACGTTGACGGCTACGTTGGCAGCGGCAGCGGTTTCATTTTTCGCCAGCGAAAAAGAAAAAGTGACCGAGACAATGGAGAAATTGCAACTGGCAATAAGAGCAGCCAACTGGCTGAGGGAGGGTATCATGCCTATGTTAAGCTGTTTGTAAAGCAGTCCGACACGGTCAGCATGGAATTAATAAAGCTTACTAAGAGCAAATTAATGTTAAGAGCCCATTGTTAAAAAGCTTTCAATAATTGTTGTTTAATCAGTTTTTTTTATTTTTTACAAATGTCAATTCAATTAAAAATCTTGTTTGTAGTGTATATCACATTTCGCTGCAAGCTTTTGTTTCGCTTCCCTTCTTGTTGCTCTTGTTTTTTTTTTTTTTGAGCTGGCTTCCGATAACGATAAACATAACTATTGCTGGTGCAGCCTACTTATTGTTGTTGTTGTTGTTGCCGCTGCATTGATTTTCGCTTTTCTTTTATGCGCTTATTTATAAGTAGATTATAATAAAGCTTTGTTTTTTCACTCTTGTATTTTGACAGCCAGCAAATGTTATTGTAGCTGTTATAACAGCAATTTAATAATATAAATTTTATAGTTTGAACACCATAAAAATGTAGATCTTAATTGTGTTTGGGGGCTGTTGCTTGTTATAGGATTACGTGCCGGTATTTTGATTTTAACAGCATGCCCCACTAAATGTGGCTGACCTGCACTTTGAATTAGATCTTGCTGGACCTCCACCTCAATGCTTACCGTTATAGTTAGGCAACGATTCCAATTACAAACACCCCATAAAGTTCAGCTCACGCGTAATGCACTCAACACTCCATAATGTAACATTACAGAGAGTGCGACAGAGAGAGAGAGGGAGAGGGAGAGAACGGGAGTGTGTGTAAGAGAGTGAGCTAGAAACTGGAAGTTAGTTGGTCGTATAATGCTTTATGATGGCTGTGGGTGTTTTATTGTTGTTGCTGCTGCTGCTGTTGTTGTTGCTGCGATTCGTTTGCGGTTGGCGGCCCAAGTTCAACCGGGTTCAAGACTCAAGCGCAGCCACAAAACTTGTCTGTTAATGAGCAGGCAACAACAGTAACATGAACTACAACAGCAACAACAGATTTAACAGCAAGAAGCAATAAATCAATCAAAGTGCAGTTAGACTAGTTCGGTATTATTTCTAAGCTGAGTTCTTGAATTTGACGAGCGCACTTTAATCACATTTAACAACAGATCAAAGTAATTTAATTTGGCTCAGATTTAAGTATCTCTAGGATCTCAAGATGATTAAATAACCACAAAATAATTTTCTTCGAGCTAAAATTAAATTTTATTATTTTCTGGCTGTATGCTAGGTAAAGAAAAGAACGCATGTGAAGAATAATTTAACTGAAATGTAGTGCAGCTAAAAACTGGAAAACGACTGTCTAGTAACAGAGACAGAATGCGTATATCCCGGTAAATTTAAGAACATTTCGGTGGAAGGCAAAGCAGAAATTTTGCTGTATTAAATTTCCAAATGCAGGAAACCAAATCCTTAACTAATTAAGACCAGTTCCATTAAGTTCTTAGTGTTGGGAGTAGGAGTTAATCTATGAAATAAGAACAAATATTATTATCTATTAAGCAACTCCTCACCGTGGGTTGGGACCTATTCCTTCCCGTAACACCCCACATATCCCAAAAAAAGGTGCAACTAACAAACGTGGCTTATTTTAAATGTTTTCTGTTTTTTCGCTCTGTTGTTGTTGTTTCTGCTTCTTTGCTGTTGCAACTTCTGTTTGTTCTTCTGGCTCGGTATTCGTCATCCTCAGGCAGCCATGCATCAATTGTTGGCAATAAACAACCGTCAAATGTTTACAGCCAGCGTAAAACCCACAAAACTGTCTCCGATGCTTGCCAACATGGGCGGCAACAACAAGACCGTGTGCGGGGGAAGGGTTGCGGTAAATAGAAGGCAGTTTAATTACGACTTTACTAGTTATGACAGACGCGGGCAACAGCAACAAATGTCACATAATTTCCACAATTAAAGCATAAACTGAAGCAATGCAGCCGCAGCTGCTGGCGGTCTGAGGTTTTCACGGTTCGGCGAGGGGGATTGGGGCGGTGCGGCACACACTTTGGCAACAGGTGCAACAGGCTGAGGCTGAGAGGCTGAGAGGCTGCGAGGCCTGAGTCAAAGTCTGTGGCACACGCATGCGTAAAACGGTTGTTAGCTGTTGTTGCTGTTGCAACGGCAGCAACATGCATGAAATTGTTTGCCTGGCGCAGACAAGAAACTCGCGACGAAAGACCCAGAGAGCCGGGGACATGTTCTGCCAGTTGCCGGAGTTGCCAGTTACCAAAGTTACCCGTCGCCCGTTGCCCGTTGCCAGTTGCCCGAGCGACAACGATAACAGCTACACGACCAGCCAGCAACAAGGCGTGAATGCCGTAAGCCCCACTCAGAGCCGCAAGTCGTTGCCCAAACGCACACGCACAGTGCTCTGCAAGTGGAGTAAAAGGAAAAGTGTAAATGGCCCCAAGGATAGGTATAAAACATTTTTCAACTGTCCCAACGCGATGGTGGCTGATTAGCGAAGATTGTCATACATTTGATGTCAATTAAAAGAGGTTGTGGCTAATAACATTATTATTAACATTTATAATGGTGTTTGTATGTTATTGTTATGCAAGGATATTTTATGCAATGTTATGTTATGTAATGTTACGACATGCTATGTTATGTTAAAATTATTCAAGTTACGACAATTATGTTATGTTATGGCTTGTTATTTTATGTTATGCTATTCTATATCATGTCATGCTTCATTAACATGTACACTGTCTTTCAATGATTCTCATGTTAACCAAAAATTATGTTATGTTACTGATATAATATAATACTGTTAAATTCTTCTTTATGTGTATGCTATGTTATATTGTGCTATGACAATGCTATGTTATGTCACGCAAAATGGAACTAATGTTATGCTTATAATTGCTTTTGCATTTTAGAACAAAATAATGTTCCGATCTAATTAGTCAATATTTATAAAATGATTAGAAATATCTTAACCACTGTGCGAACGCATATTGGAGGCTGTAACATCCTTACCGTTTGGCCATGGGCCACTTGCCATTGTAATTGATGTTGTATTAGAACATCATTTACGCAATTGCCACAGTTTGCAGTTGTTGCTGCTGCTGCTACTAATGCTGGTTGTGCTGTAATCTGGTAGCAGATTGTTAGAAGTTTGAGCTGATTTCCTTGCTGCCTTTTAAATTGTATATCGACTAACGATCGCACGATAAAATGGGGAAAAAGCGCCAATGCAGTTATCAAATGGACTACAAAGATGCGAATGCCAGTATGGGGATGCGAATGATCAATGGCATTGGACATTAGGCAGGAATTGGCATTAAGAGTAATGGCTAGAGTAATGGCCCATAACGCCCAGGTTGGGCATTTACTATATTAGCATATTGTGATCGCTTATGATACCCTGTAAATAACATAGGCATAACATATGTTAGTGTAAGCTGCACTGTTGCTGTTCCCCTGTTAATAGGATGTAAAATAGTTCTGCTGCATATTTTAGGATATTTAGTTATCCTACCGAATTACTTAATAAGTAATATGTAAGTAAGTAATAAGCAAGTATATTTGTGGAAAGATCTACAGACTGCTAGATTAGCCCTGATGCTAGCCCTGTACAATAAGCACATACATTTTTATTGCATTATGAATTGCTATGAAATACCACATAAAATCGATCAATCCACCAACACGCACTACCACAATCTCTCGCATTGCACATAAACTTGCCCAAACTCA